GTTTAACATTATTGGGCTCTTACCAGATTCACAGGAGGATGAACCTGGAATTGGACAGCAGAAATGTAAAGCCCTTGATAGAGCAGAGGTGAAGAAAGGTATTCCTTTTAACATTATTTTGGGAGGATTTTCTCAGGACAGAGCTTTATTTTTATATATGGCTCTATCACACAGCAGAAGCTGGTAGACGTCACTGCACTGACCTCACCTGTGTGCTTCCATTCCATGGAGTCCTATCAGCGGCTAACAGATATTTCTATTCTTAGTGGCATGGAGACTACCACCCTTTAGTTTCTATAATGGTTGGTTCTCTTAGTGTCAAAAGCTAAAAACATTGGTAAATCCAACCAATGTAACCTTGAAAACCTATGAAGGAATGATGGATATGAAGCAATTCATTGATAAGCTTTGTCAACTTTAAAAACAAAATAGCCAGTTATTTATCCAGGAAAAATGAATTTATTTAGGAATAGCAGAGGAATTGCAATTTGGGACTGCAATTATGGCAAACCATAGGCAAGTCCCAAGAAGGAAGAAAAAAAAGAGTATCCTTGTATAGAGGAAAGAACGGAATTGGGAAAGAAAAAGAAAAGTTCTTTGGAGGAGAGGGAGACTTTGAGGGAGAGTGAGGACCTCTCATTGGCTAGGTTGTTGCTGGGCAAGGAGAATCGTCCTTCCTCCTCCTGAGGTATGCTAAGTAAGCTGCCAGGAGTGGTACTGAGAACTCTCCCTTCAGTTGCCTCCAGACTCCATTTTGACTTAGCTTCTTTATTGGTTTTCGCAACCCTTACCAGCAGTTGATTAACATTACTAAGAGGTCTTGTGTAAAGGTACACTTGTATCATTGTAAAAGAGTAGAAACCTTTTTAGGGTCTCATCTTGAAACAGCTAATGTTTGTAGCTTTAAAATGTTTTGTAAATACACACCAATGATAGAGACTAAGTATCTCCTTGTGGGAAATGTATGCTTTTTAAAGTTTGTATACATTCACTGTATAACATGATCCAGAAAATACTGGTATGAAAATAGGTGAAATAGGTGGCTTCTTTTTGAAATGTGCTTCAGCAAAATAAAATACTGCAACCAGATTACATAATTTGAATATTAATAATATGCTTAATCAAAATTTGTTCAGGTATAGGTAAGTAATTAAGATATAAATGATTTATACATGCTGCAACTTAGTCTATAGATTTATTCCAAAAGTAGTCACCACACAGTGTCTGTATTTTTATATTTATATGAATATGTTTAATGATTGTAATACATAGTGAGAATGAGGTGGTATTACATTATCCCTAATAGGAATAGTGCTTTTAACTGTTAAAGAATAATATTGCTTTCTTCAGAGGGGGAAAAAACCCCAACTCTCTAGAGCTCCAGACATTCTATAGAATCCCTTAGAGGATGGGGCTTTTGCACAAACTTTTGCTTAAAGAATAGAATAAGGTACACCTTTTTAAAACATTCTTTTTTCCCTTTAATGTATGTTTCTCTCTCTCTTAAAAATAGAGTGTGAGCAGGGGAGGGGTAGAGAGAGAGGGAGACACAGAATCTGAAGCAGTCTCTTGTCTCTGGGCTGTCAGCACAGAGCCTGACATGGGGTTCAAACTCACAAACTGCGAGATCATGACCTGAGCTGAAGTCAGAGGCTTAACCAACTGAGCCACCCAGGTGCCCCAGTTCTTCTTCTTTTTTTCCTTAATGTTTATTTATTTATTTTTGAGAGAGAGTGAGCACATGCATGCAAGTGAGGGAGAGAAAGAGAGGGAGACTGAGAATCCTAAGCAGGATCCAGGTTCCAGGCTGTCACCACAGAGCCCTACGCAGGACTTGACTCATGAGCTGTGAGATCCTGACCTGAGCCATAGTCTGATGCTCAACTAACTGAGCCACTCAGGTGCCCCTAAAACATTTTAATGAAATCCCTCCTGCACCCATTTCACCTATAACTGGAATACTTAAATTCCAATAACTTAGAGTTTCATTCATCAGGGATTCCTTAGAGCCAAGTATAAAGCCTAATGAAGGAAACTAGGATACGTCACTCCAAAATATGTATCTTTGAGAAGAGGAATTGGCAAATAAAAAGATTCTTCCCATATATTTACCTTTCCAGTTTGCTGCCCTTGAGAGCCTGAAACTGCTTTCCTTTGTGCTATCATTTCTCTACAAATGCACTGGTCTTTGTTGAAGATGCTATATAAACTGCGGGGTTTAAGAAGCTTTTTGAGTTACTCTTTGTTTCAAGTTTCTCCTGTGTGATGTGCACTGCAAGTGTTAATAGACTTTTTTTGTTAATGCCCTCTTGTTAAAGAGTGCCAGCTGAGGGGCACCTGGGTGGCTCAGTCGGTTGGGTGTCCGGTCATGATTTCATGGTTCTTTAGTCTGAGTCCCATGTTAGGCTCTGTGCTGACAGTTCAGGCCTGCGGCCTGCCTCAGATTCTCTGTCTCTCTTCCATTCCCTTGCTTGTGCTCTGTCTCTAAAAAATAAATAAATGTAAAAAAAAATTAGATGATATTTTTTCTCAGGAAAGTAAAACATTTCCAATGCCCCATATTAAAAGTTTTAGTGTTTGTAGTGTTGAAATGTTTTGCAAATATTTACCAATGACACAGACTAATCGTTTCTTGCGGGAAATTTACGTTCCTTTAAGTTCACCATGAAAGTAAAACACTTGAAATGCTCTCCGTGCTATTAGAAATTTCCTGACTCTTCTGTACTTCATCTCAATGACATTAGGTCAGAAGACTGTAATCATATTTTAATGATTTTAATGACTAGAGTTCATTGTGCATTCATCTAACAGAAATTTACGGGTTCTAATCCCTTAGTTTGTGAATCATGCCCATTTTTAAGGTTACCAATTACGTGCAGAGTGACTGCGCAACTGTAGTTTCTTACAAGGAAAATTAAATAAGGTTTTTTCCCTATGTTTCCTGAGATTTTGTTTTTGTTCTGTTTTTATATTAAAATCTAGCCTTACAAACAAATAAACAGGACTGATATTTGATCTTCTGGATAACATTTACATGGAAAAAGAGTTCTTTCCAGTACTCTTAGAACTGCACATGAATATACAAAGTGGCTTCCCCAGTTAAACCACCTACTGTTATCATTCAAGATGACTAAACTTTTTTTCTCGTAAATTCACATCTCCCATATGTTTACTTCTCTTTACCTGCACTGCCAGGATCTTGTACTCCCTTTATAATGATGGCTTGGGGGAAGAGTCCATATACTTTGGGCTCCTCCCTATATTTATGTCAGTTTTCCTATCTGTACATAATACATCACAGAAACAGGAAAAGACAGGCTAACCTTCTATAAGAGGGACATAATAATGAGGTGCTCTTGTACTGACATTTTTGTTTCTTCAGCATCTGTTTGCTTCCGAGGCCCGTTATTAAACTGTTTCTGTTTCTGATGAAGCACTCTAATTGTGACATGTATCAATTAACTCTCTGGGAGTGAGTTTTGTAAAGTATACCTTCTTCTCAGGTATTGTAGTTAGGGTTAATTATTTATGGATTGTAGCACTCACAGTGAGAAGTGTTATTTAAATACAAGTAGTTTTTTTTTTTTTTAAACTCTGAGATGCCAATAAAATGTTCCCCATCAATAAAATGTTCTCCCTTAAAACAACTGATTCTAGGTAATTCAAAGAATAGGTCTAAGAAGCTTTTGGATATAAGCATGGCTAAAAAACAATTACTATAACAATCTGATAAGGTAACACAAGAAATCATTGGCTGTGTGTCTAGTTTACGGATATACAAAATCAACCCATAAGCAATCCCTAATACTGTCTTTTGTACTACCATTAGATAGAAATGAATCGGGAGAAACTAACCATCCTGCTTACCTGGAAAAGAAACTGGGGCGCCGACAGCTTTAGTGTTTTTTGTGTGTTACACACTCCTTTTGGCTTTGATCTGATTGCTTCTCCATTTCTGAAAACTTCAAGTAGAAAAATCAATAATAACAGAATTCCAGTGCTGGAAGATCATTTATTCTGACCCTCTCCTTTCATCAAAGTAGAAACTGTAGCCCTTGAATATTGAGTTATCCATTAAAATTCAAAGATGTTCATAAACCTCCTGGCTTCTGGAACTCACAAAATTATATACAAGATTAATGTAAATTATACATAGAATAAACGTTCAGTGGGCCCTAACACACCTTGGCTTTCAATTATATTAGGATAAAATTCCCGTGGATAATCTACAGCTCCTGTGGAATTGCGGCCCACACTCCTTTCTCCCTTTTCTACTCAGGTCTCTGCTTTCTGGGTCAAGGTTGGTTCCATCTGGCCCCTGGGCGTGGCCGGCATCCGGGCCCTGGATAGAGAGAGCTTCGAAGCGCCTAACAGGGAAGGGACATAGAGGTCTGGGTCTCAGTCAGTCGAGGTCTTCTGCAAAGAGCCCCTTGGTCCACTTCCTGAGAGCTCCCATCCCTCCGTCCTGCAGCCGCTGTTTCCGCCTGAACCTCCCCATTTCGCACCTCTGCCGCCGTTTCGTTGAGGCTCCCGCTGAGGGCCCGCTTTGGCTCCGGGCCACGGTACCCTAAAGTCCCCCGGGACGGGCGGGGGAACGTGACCTTGTTACCCGCATGGGTCTCGGGGGCAAAAGCATTCCGTGCACAACCGAGGCACGCCCGACGCAAGGACGGGCTAGGACACTTGTGATCGTAAACCCAGTGGTGAGCCGGGCCCTGTAAGTGGAAGGGAGCGGCTCCCGCGGCCGCCGCCCCTGGGGAGCCGCGAGAGCCTCGCTCTTCCTCCTCCTCCTAACTCGCCGGCTCGGCTGATCTCCTGCCATGACTCAGCGATTCTCGCAGGCTGCCCGGCTGGGGACACCGGCTTCTCGCGGGCTCCTCCCGCCGCGTCCACCCCCTCTCGCCACCCACGCCCGCCCCCGGCCGCCGGCTCTTTCCCAGCCGGGCCGCCGCCGCCGCCGCACTCTGCGCCGGCGTCCCAGCAGCATCGCCGCCTGCGCCGAGCGCCGAGCGCTGCAGCCCGACCCCGCCGCCCACCCGCACGCCAGCCATGGAGCCCGCAGCTCCCCGCCGCCGCCACACCCACCAGCGCGGTTACCCCGTGACGCGGAACCCTCACCTCAACAAGGTGAGTCTGCCGGCCCACCTGGCGGCCCCGTGGTCGCCTTCGGTCTGGGACCGGCCCTCCGGGGGCGGGGGGTGTACCCCGACGCGGCCTCGCCCCTCTGTCCGCTCTCACCGGACGCGGCCCTCGGTGCGGGCAGAATGGAGGGGCTGCCCAGTAGGCTGTGTGCCCAGCGGTGTGATGGGCGCGCGGTGCTGGTTCGCCTTGGCATCCGATTTTGGGAACAGAGGAGGTGTAACTTGTTTACTTTTTGGCTGCTTTTCTCCAGGAGCCAAGCCAAAGAAAGCAGTATCAGGCTAAGTGCGTGAACTGTTTCTGTGAAGATAGCAGGTAGGCTGCCAGCTCAGCCTGTATGTGCCACCTACTTACTGGTTCCACTGAGTGTGGCAATTCTTGAACGCTGCTTGGAGAGAAGTCCTACTGGTCCATCCTGGACACAAATGAGTTCTCAGCCTTATCACATTAACAAGCTAGAAGTCAAGGCCTCTTGGTTTCTGGAGTGACGCGTTTAGGAGGCTGGGAATGCGTGGTGGGTGGCTTCTGCCTTGGACACTTTGCATGGCCTGGTATAAAATCCCTGTCATAGACATGGGGCTGTGGGTAAAGCCATTCCTGTGTTTTTGAATCTGGGCTTCTGGAAATTAAAAACATTTTTTTTTTTTAGAGACCTCTCCTGGAAACAAGGATTCACTGTAGATTATATAGACCCCTTTTCAGATCTGGTAACACTTCATTTTTCTTCACTGGTGATGTGGAGTAAACACCTAGCATTTCTCTGAAATGAAAAATACCTAACTTATAATTTTGCTTATATAGATCCTAACAGTCACACTTACTCTATAGTGAAATTCACCAAATTTCTCTCTAAAGAGCCAAATTTCTCTCTAGATTGTCATTTTGTGTGTGTTTGTAACTGTGTCTTTTTGTGTTTGTGTGTAACTGTGATTTTGACATTTCCTTATTTAAGATACAGGAAATGCTGTCAGTCAGAACAGAGATATGTTTAGTCATTTTGATTGTCTCTTTAGTAGATACTCTTTTTCATTAGGAACTGGACCCCAGTCTTACCTTCTGATCATGTTGCTGGTGATTTGTTGATCATTATTGAAGGCTTGGAGATTTGTGATTTCTCTTATTTAATAATTTATAATTTGATAAATTATAGCTAGTGTGGGTTCTTTTTGATATTTGTGACAGGTTAACTTTTACAAATACGTGGTGTTTAGTATTTGGGTTCATAAAGCATTATGAAATTTTTAAATAGTTCCAACTTAATTTTTTTTCTTCAAACTGAATTTATTTGCTAGGTTTTTTTAAAATCATTTTATTAGTCTGCATGTTGGGGCCTGTTTTCAGTAGAACAAAGGTAAAATCTGATGTGACAGAATAATTTGTTACTTTCATGTATTATCTGCTTGCTGTAATTTACGGCCAAATAATGGGTTGTTACTTAAGGAGGACCACATAAGTGGTATAACCTGTTTGAATTTCCCTGAAGTCATGGGCACGAATGGGTGTTTGGAGTAGGTAGATGGCATAGGCAATCATTGGGCAAGAGTAATTATTACGCCTTTACTTAAAATCTTTTTGGCTCCTATTTACCTATAAAGATTAACTCCTACTCAACAATAAGATCACGGAGATCTTCCACCAAGTTGAAAGGTGCAGCATAATGTGTTAAGAACACATTTTTGAATTTATCATTGAACTTTATTGTCTGCATAGTATCAAATTGGATTTAAAATCTAGTTCACCGAGGTGCCTGTGTGGCTCAGCCAGTTGAGTCCATCTTCCGCTCAGGTCATGCATGATCTCACAGGTTCCTGGGTTTGGCCCGCCTCAGGCTCTGTGCTGCCAGCTCAGAGCCTGGAGCCTGCTTCTGATTGTGTCTCCCTTTCTCTCTGCTCCTCCCCTGGCTCGCTCGCTCTCTCTCCGTCTCTCAAAAAGAAATAAACATTAAAAAAAAATCTAATTCACCAACTCTGGGGTGATTAATAGAATAAGCTTTACTTACTCAGTTCTAAGACAGTGTGTGTTGCCTCATGGAAATAGCAGAATATCCTTACATACATCATTGAAACCATAGCTGGGGGATGTTCTGATCTGCTCTGCACTGAAGACCTCTGGGCTTTACAGTTTTCTGGTAGGCCGGGAATTTTTATTGCTTTTTTTTGTGTGTGTGTGATAACCTAGGCTAGTAGATTTGCCCTTTCACATCCCAGCCTGTCATCTGGCTACATGAAGCCTTCTTCGGCCACATTCACACAGACCTTTATCACCTCAGCTTTTGGGTAACTGCAGTGATTTTACCGGTTTTATTTTCAGTATTGTAGTCTGTCCTACATATAGATATGAGAGCAACACCTACATCAGTTAGTTTTTTCTTCACGTTATTCTTCTGTCATCCAAGTATTTATAATAGTTCCTGTAATGTTGAATGTAAAATCAGTCTTGTCAGGTTTACTGTCTTCTTCAAATTGATCTCATTAATCCCCCAATTTAGTCTTCCACTTGAAGACTTCCACATTTGCTGGATCTCTTAATACTCTCCTTTTTGTCTATGTGTGATTTCCTACAATTAAAATGGCATTGATTGATTTAATAATGATCTCTCTAGGGAAGGTGTTCCTAATTATCTTAGTCCTATTGTCATTACTTAACACCTCTGTTTTTATGTATTCAAATGTATCATGTCATGTTGTATTCACTGCATTGTATTTTTAAAATTTTGATTGTCATAGGGCAGGAGTCATAGTACAGAATTTTGCCCAGTGTGCTTTAAATAAATGTCTATTTCATGAACGAATGAGCCATGTTTTTATTTCTTTTGTCTTTTAAACAGTACTCAGCTTTTAAAGCAAGAAGGTTTTATTTTCTTTTTTTTGCTTTTTCTTTTTTTAATAATTTACTTATTTTTTAATTTACATCCAAGTTAGTTAGCATATAGTACAGCAGTGATTTCAGGAGTAGATTTCTTAATGCCCCAGATTCCTTAATGCCCCTTACCCATTTAGCCCATCCCCCCCCACAACCCCTCCAGCAACCCTCTCTTTGTTCTCTATATTTAAGTCTCTTATGTTTTGTCCCCCTCCCTCTTTTTATGTTATTTTTGCTTCCCTTCCCATATGTTCATCTGTTTTGTATCTTAAAGTCCTCATGAGTGAAGTCGTATGATATGTCTTTCTCTGACTGACTGACTAATTTCACTTAGCATAATACGCTCTAGTTCCATCTATGTAGTTGCAAATGGCAAGATTTCATTTTTTTTTTGATTGCTGAGTAATACTCCATTGTCTATATATACCGCATCTTTATCCATTCATCCATCGATGAACATTTGTGCTCTTTACATACATACTTTGGCTGTTGTCAGTAGTGCTGCTATAAACATTGGGGTGCATGTGCCCCTTTGAAACAGCACACCTGTATCCCTTGGATAAGTACCTTTGTAATGCAATTGCTGGGTTGTAGGGTAGTTCTATTTTTAATTTTTTGAGGAACTTCATACTGTTTTCCAGAGTGGCTGCACAAGTTTGCATTCTTACCAGCGTGCAAAAGAGATCATCTTTCTCTGCATCCTTGCCAACATCTGTTGTTGCCTGAATTTCTAATGGTAGGCATTTGGACAGGTGTGAGGTGGTATCTTGTTGTGGTTTTGATTTGTATTTCCCTGATGATGAGTGATGTTGAGCATTTTTTCATGTGTTTGTTGGCCATCGGGATATCTTCTTTGGAGAAGTGTGTATTTATCTCTTTTGCCCATTTCTTCACTGGGTTATTTGTTTTCTGGGTGTTGAGTTTGATAAATTCTTTATAGATTTTGGAGACTAACTCTTTATCTGATATGTTGTTTGCAAATATCTTCTCCCATTCTGTCAGTTGCCTTTTAGTTTTGCTGATTGTTTCCTTTGCCGTGCAGACGCTTTTTATTTTGATGAGGTCCCAATAGTTCATTTTTGGTTTTGTTTCCCTTCCCTCCAGAGATTTGTTGAGTAAGAAGTTGCTGTGTCCAAGGTCAAATTGGTTTTTGCCTGTTTTCTCTTCGAGGATTTTGATGGCTTACTGTCTTACATTTAGGTCTTTCATTTTGAGTTTATTTTTGTGTACAATGTAAGAAACTGGTCCAGGTTCATTTTTCTGCATGTCGCTGTCCAGTTTTCCCAGCACCATTGGGTGAAGAGACTGTCTTTATTCCATTGGATATTCTTTTCTGTAAAGCAAGAAGCTTTTAGAGTGGTTGTTTGAGCATTATTTTAAGACATTTATACTCTTTTAATTATAGTTTCTTGAAAGTAAATTCATGTTGAAGTCTAAAGCTTAGTCGACTATACATTATATAATGAATACTGGAATATAGGAGAATAGTTGGAATTTGGTTTAAGCTTGACCATCCATGAAGTTTTAATTGCTTGCTAGGTAACCTTAAGGGGGTGATTAGTCTTGGTAAAATCAAGGTTAACAGTAGATATGATCCAAATTAAAAAAATTAACATTGTGAAAACTTAAGAGAAATAAGATCTTTCTTCATTGGTAATAACTAATGTATGATTCTTACTATTTGCTTTTGCTCAAATTCTATCATTCCAGGTAGGATTTCATCATAGTATTTGCGAAAGTACTTCTACCTCATGCTTCTGAGATTCAGTATCTTTCTCTACAGAGCCCAAATTATTTTTGAGGTGCTTCTCTTTGTGTTACATGTACTTATCTAATTTAAAGTTTAATGTTTATGATTTTCAAGGATACTTTCTGAATCTGACGAGTTGTATTTCAAATTTTTTCTCAGGAATTTTCATATGACTAATAATGTTTCATAAATCATCCTTCAAAATTAAAATTCTATACACAGTAAAATCACTTATTTTTAATTCTAAATTTATTAGTTCACTATTCCTTTAGCAATGGTAGAAAACACTAATTGCTAGTTCTGCCATAATTGTGCTTACATGATTTCCATGTCTTTAAGATTAAATAATATACATGACTAGTACATCTCCAAAAGA